ACCTAGGAATGCAAAGAATACTGGGATACTATAACCGCACTCATGGCAAACTCTACCTTACATAAACATTCGCATTCATGACTGCCTGTTCAGTTTGATTCTGCTATATGCCCTACTCTTATCCAGTCACAGTTTACCATAGTACATGGTGCATTTAACCATATCTTGCCCAAGAGCCCAAGGCCATTTCTACACCAGGGGCCCCTTACCAGTATAGGGATACCAGTACTTGCAGACACAGCTCACACCTGCAAAACTGTGCCTGGATTTTAATTAAAGCAAGGGCACACCTACATCGGAAAGTTAGTCTGCAATATACTAGTATATTAATTTACTGAACATTAGCTATCCTGCTCTAATTCTATGTCTGCATAGTAAGTGTGAGGTAGCTTCCAAAGCAGAATACAACATCTTGGACTAAGACACTCCTAATATGTGCTAAGAGCATCCCCACAGTGAGGTAATGTGGAGTAGCTAGCTAACCATCAATTCATATCCTAGATTGCCCCTGAAAACAAGCCTTTAGGCACCTGACCCCAGCTGACTTCCTACCCTTTGGGCAGGGGGCTGGACCTGATGATCTTGTGAGGTCCCTTCCAGCCCTAATGTTTATGAAATCTATGAAACCTACCCAGATTAGGGGCTTTTGAGAATCTTATATGGAGCTTGTCTGTATCTTTATGTCAATATCTTTGAATATCTGGCTGACATACCTAAGGCCCTGTCTATACTAGGAAGATTTGGTTGGCACAATTATACTAATGTAGCAATAGGAGCAATACCTTCTGGCGTGCACAAAGTTATATTGCTGTACAAGTGCTTACTATTTATTTAATCATTAAACACTAGAGGTTTCAACAAGCTAAGACAGTGAAATACATAACACCTTCAAATAAATAACTACAACAGGTAAATTCATAAGTGTAGAGTTGGCCAAGTCATTTCAGAAAATTAGATTTAGGCCTAGTCTACACTCAGCAAGTTTTTATCCCACAGCTTTGTTAGTTAGGGATGTGAAAATGTCCCACCCCTGCCTGACAAAACAGTGCCAGCAAAGACCCCAGTGTAGGCAGAGTTGTACCAGCAAAAAACCCAACCCCCTCCCCCCCCCCCCCCCAAAAAAAAAAAAAAAAAAAAACCCAACAAAAACCAACCAAACAAACAAAAAAACCTCCTTGGGGCTGAACCCAGGCTGATTTTTTCGTTTGGAAATTGGATTCATGAGTAGATTTAAAGGGAGCACAGTAATACAGTTGCATCCTCTTTTGATTCCTGTTCCACCTCAACTTTAAAAGCAACTGCCTGGAAGGGCCAGTGACATTTCTATTCAGGCAGTGCTGAGAGAGTCAGTTAACTTCATGGCTCATTATCAGCTCCCTGATTCCAGCTAATCTCTATCCTCTCCACAGGTGTTTCAGAGATTTCATAGACATTAGGGCTGGAAGGGACCTCAGAAGATCATTGAGTCCAGCCCCCTACCCGACGGGGATGTGTTAACATCCTCTATCCTGGTCTTGCTATTCCATTATTTAAACTACCCTTTTTCTACTATTTTGCTGTTAGCTATTCCTGGTAATGCCTCTCTTCTATTTCACTGTCCTCCAGTCTGTTTTTAGCTTTTGCTAAAAACCTTAACTTAGGTGTGATAATAACTTAATGTGTAGTGACTGACAGTGCAGCATTGCAGGCACTATATCAGGGCACTCAAGATGGCTAGATTTGGTTTTATGAATAAGAAATATACATTTAACTACAATGACTACAGTCATTATAGTGGTGTTTCATTTTAATCATAGAAAAATGTGGATTTGGGGTTACTTTTTTTAATCCAAAAATTGGGGATTTTGTTTTATCAGAGAAAACCAGAATCCCTGCTTATGACACAATATCTTTTTGATTCTTTTGACTCAGTTTTGCCTAGTTCATTGTTTTTAAACTTTATATATAATCTAGCAAATTTGTGTACATCCTGTGGTTATATTTGTTTTTGCTTTGTTCTTAAACTGAATAATATAGGGCTAGCCTGCCTAGCATATTACTAAATCTTCTAGAGAAAAATGTGTTGTATTATATGCGATGATGGGACACACCATCTGCATCCCCCTTTTCAAAATCCTAGATCTGCCCATGATTGACTATAAACAGTCATGTCTGCAGAACTCTTTGGGAATTGTGTGCAAGCGTGGTCTGCACTAGGAGGATTTGCCCATACAGCTAACCTGATGTAGCTGCATACTAATCTGTATCTAGTGTGACCAAGCATGTCACTTAGCCCTTTTTTTTTTTTTTAAGTGCCTAAATTGGAGTTTAGGATTCCACTACCTGTCAGGATGCCTAGGAATTGGGCACTGTAATGCTTAGAGTGGCATTGTTCAAGTACCTTTGAGGCCTTGGGCTTGCATGTTTAAGCACATATAAACTTCTATTTCATCAGGGCTGGGCTGATGCTCTCTGCTCTCTTCTCCCCCTCCCATCCTGTAGACAGCACCAGAACTGGTGGGGGTGGTGGGAGAAGCAGGGCAAGGGGAGGGATGCTGCAGGCAGGCAGCTCCTCCTGGTCTGGCTTGAAAGTGGAGCTTAATTCCACACCCTCCTGACCCAACAGTGAATGTCTGTCAGGTCGGGAGGGTCACTGTGGCTTGTGGTGTTTTGCAGGAAGCGCCATGAGTTACAGCCTGGAGCTGCATGTCCGTCAGCACCCTCTGCGTTACAAGGCCTGATTTTTAGGTACCTGGTCCCTTCAGGAAAGCCCTGAACCCTGTCCCCCACACAGAATACATGGGGAGAAGCAGACATATTAGGAGAGCATTGAGCAGGTTATAAGGAGCTATCTGAAGTTAACTACTGTCAGAAACATCCCTCCCCATGCTAAGTACAGTGACTAAGTCTTTCCTCTGTAAGCAGGCACAGAAACAGAACTTTAGGTACTTGAGGAACATTAAGCCCAAAAACTGAATTGTCTGTGGAGTGAGGCAGCAGCTGAGTGACGGTGTTCTAAGAAGCAATTTTGAACTTAGTGTCCAAACTCTGTCTAAATCCTTTATTGGATCTGGCCCTTTAGCTTAGGGTAATAAAATGTTCACAGTCACCTGATGGACTTGCTCAGTCACACAGGAAGTGTGAAATCCTGTTCTGTTGGAGTCAACGGTAAGCTTGTTCAACATGATAAAACAGCAAACAAGGCAGAATTTCATCCCAGATCTTCCACTTTACCACAACCACATTACCTGTTGACTCACATGGCTAACCCTCATCTCTCTTCCTTTGGATCACAACTATACTGTGAATGTTCCTTTAAGAATAATCCTACCAGATGCACCACGTGCAGCAAACCTGTGGCTAAATAGTTATGTCTATGCTAGAAAAAGTCATTAAGGTCAGGTTGGTATATACGTCAGCCCATTTCTGCATTGCAGACAATCTAAGTGTTACATACATTTTCCATTAGTTTACATAGAAGTCTAATAACTGTTAGCAAAATTACTGTTCACTCAGAATGTTTGATTCCCACCAAGCTTGCTATTTATTCATCTTAAAGAATCTCTTTAGAGTAATAATCTTTTAATAGAAATAATTACAAAGCCTCAGTTTCGTTTAAAATATAAAAATAATATCTCCTTGCTATTGCAACTGCGGACAGGAAACAGTCTTATGTATGGTAATAGGATGGTAATATCGTGGTCACTGATAGAAGAGTGGTTAGCATTTCTACTTGCTCACTGGTGGGAATCATATGTGCACCACTTTTTAAATATATTAAAAGCAAAGGTACTGAGAACAAACAGCCACATAGGGCCCCAGGCTGCAAACTTGTAAAATTAGGGATCTACAGAAATGGATGCTATTTATGACTGATCCTTTATATATAAAAGTATTGCTGACAAGCAACACTGCCTAACTGCAAAAAGTATAATTTCGTACCCTTCAAATCAGGGGAGCTAATAACCAATACGCCTACCAAACTGGCATGGCAAAATGCACTGCTTTTGGCATCAGCTTTTCTGAAACAAGTTTCTGGAGCCTTCCTGTTGTTAGTGAATGCGCTTGCTAAAAATTCTCCCATTTTGCTGCCACATGGAACATTTTAAACAATAGTTTCATCATGGGCATTAGGGTCTGATGGGAGATCTGCTAAATAGGAAAGGCAAATGATTAAATTAAAGATGTATGGAAAGGGAAATAATATTTTTTATACGCAGTAGGACAAAAATAATGCTGCCTAGCACTGTTGTTATTACTTATTTACTGTAGCATTTAGGAGTCCTAGGTGTGGACAGTGCTAAGTGCTGTCCTGATGCAACAATAATAGGTTCAGCTTGAGGCTGTGAAAGGGGCACAGCCCCCAGCAGGCACCAGGCCCTTATGTTTCAGCCTTCAGGTCCTGCCCCTATCCAGGCCCTTCCCCTGCTGCTTCTCCCTTCCTGGCTCCTGCCTACCCCCCTCATCCAACTCTCTTAGTTTCATCCCCATCCATTGGCTTCACTTCTTCCCCTGCCTCACCTTCTATCATGTCCCAAGTCTTCTTATTCCTACTTCCATTGCTCCATCTCTTATGCCCCCTTCCTATCTTCATGGAGAATACTGACTTTGTGGATTATGTTCTAGTATGGAACAAAGCCAGATTCTGAAATCTTGAACTCCTTTGTGAAGTAGAACTTCCGTCTTCACAGTTCTTGTACCTAGTTATCAAACTGCACTCCACAGTTCTAGCAATCTTTTTGTGTTATCCTTTACTGCTAGGCAGATTTTTTTTAAATAACTGTATTTGTTATAACACATATACAAGGCCAGATAACTTCTGGCTGTCAGCTGTACAGAAGCACAAATCAGGGACTGTGCAGGCCCAAGAAAGTGCAAGGTGAAGGTAGGTCACAAGACAGCAGTGTGAGGTAGACCTTGTGATGTGATGTACACAGGATCACTTCAAGAGAGGCAAATAGTTCAGAGGATGTGCTCTAACCTTATGTGTATGCATACATATTGTCTAGAACAGAACTGACCATACGTTCCTGTAAGAGAGTGTGTATCCTGGAGATGTCACGCTTGCTCTTCCACTTTGGAATCTCCCTTTGTTATTCGTCTGCCATACCTTGACATTCAAATGATTAGAAAAGAGAAAAGAAGGGAAGTGAGATATTTGTCACAATCAGTGGTAGGGCTCAAGGGCAAGACTTTTCTTCACAGGGCTCCACCGCTTCTACACCCTGCCCTTATTGCTCCTGCCCATTTTTAGGCCAGCAATTTCTTTTGATATCTCATTCTCACAGTAACACACTGAGTGATGCCATGCTACAGACTGGTCATTCCTGCCATTTACCCACAGGAGTAAGCAATACAACCCTTGCCGACTCGTTCAGCTACATAATTTATAAGTCATTTGTTAGCAAGTCTTTCACCATCAGTTCACCAAATCAGTGGTTTCTTATTTATACTTCACCCATGAATGCTTTTATCATCACTACATTAATCCTTATCCATACTTCATTGATTACCAAGTTCCATCACTCAAGTAATTCTTATTTATACTTCATTAATTACCAAGTTTTCATCACTCAATTCTTACTTATACTTTGTCAATAAATGAGTTTATCATCACTCTTTGAATCATCAGTTAACGAGTCCAACTATTCTATTAATCTTCACTTTATACCTCACCAATTCATGAGTTTGTCAGGCACTGGCTTATCCCATTCCCTATGCTTATCTAGGATGGGTTCCCTTCATGAGTTTCTCGCTGGTTCTTCCCATCAATTAATCAGGTTTACGCACTGCCATGTTCCATCCTTCATTTGCTGGCTCATCTATTTAATTAGTCCCTCAAGTGAAAGAAGAAAAAAGAAAAATCACCCAAAGCAAACTCCCTCCAGGAGGGCTTATCTTCTTCCTACTCACCGTCACCACCAGCACCTGGATGGTTCATTCTCCAGGTCCCATTGTCCTACCTGGTGTTCCATCCACTGCCCTGACCCTACTTTTGGCTTTTCTTGCTCCCAGCCTGGTGTCTGTGACTTGTATTGTAGTTGACCCTGTTCTGTACCTCTGCACAGACTGAACTGCCCTCTCCCAGGAGAAGCCAGGCATTCCTCTCTCTGGGGGATCTACATGTGTGCTGGTAGCCCCTTTTGGGTTCTATCAGAACTCCCAGCAGCCAATCAGGGCCCGCTTCACTAGCACATTGGCTGTGTGCCTCCTGAGCTGACTGCTTCTTCTAGTGGCTGTCCACGTGTCTTTGGGGTCAGCACTGCAACCCTGAGGGCCCAGAGGTAGGTCCCTCAGCAGGCTCATCCAGCTGGTCAGCCTGGACTGTAACAGGGACTGGGATCAGTGCCCTTTTACAGTTCCCTACCAAACATTCACTTACACTTGTAGCAGAAATAAACTTCATTTGAGGACAAGAACTTTATGAGGAATAGAACACGGACACACAATAACACTGCTTCTTTGTCACTAATGTGTTGGCTTGTGGCCAACTCTTCATTTGATCTGAATTTGGACTAAAGCTTTGATGTCACCTATCATGTTAAGCAGTGATACAGCTGGAATCTAGTTCACAAATGAAAGTCACTTAGTTCATTAGTATGTACTCTCTCACTAATCACATTCAAAGATAATTCTGGTGCTTGATATACAAAAGATATTACTTTTCATTCTTCAGCCCTTCCCTGGGGCCTCCGCAGCCGAGCGGGTGTCACCCGGTGCTGCAAGGAACAGAGGGGCTGCACAGGGGCCTCCTTGCCACTGCAAGATCCACACTGCCCTGGAGAAGCATCCCCTGTGCATGTGGCAGCAATGAGGGGCACAGCCCTGCACCACTGAGCTCACAGTGGCAACGAGCTTCCCTGCATGGCCCCACTCTGCCCTGCAGTGCTGGGTGTCACCCACTGGGCTGCAGAGGCCCTGGGAAAGGGCATCAGGGTGGGAGTCTAAGCTCAGCGGGCAGCCTGTGCCTGCCCCTGCCCCCACCCCATGCACAGATCTGGGGAACCCCAGGAGCCCTCAGGAGTGGACAGGGCAGTGGGGAGCCGGCCCCCCCTTCTGCCCCCTGGATGAGCCACCCATGGCCCTGTCCTGCACCCCGCTGGGACCCTGTGGCCACACAGTATGGCCCCAAGCCCCATGCACCACCCAGCTGGGAAGCAGCCCCAGCCCTGCCGTACTCCCTCCCTCCCTATAGGGGCCTCAAACTCTGCCTCACCCCACTTACCTGTGGGAGCTGCTCTCCAGGCTGCCTCATGGCCATGTACATGCACATGGCCCCCCCTGCCTGGCCGCTCTCCTCCTGCTCCCCCACAGCCCGTTGCAGGTTGGAACTCTGCCAGCCTGCAGAGAGCTCTTTGCAAAACTGCAAAATCTGCGGGTTTCTCTATTAAAATAAGAAACCTGCGTTTTCCTCTAGTAAGGGGGGAAATCCACATTTTACTCTGTTTTTCCATGGAAAATGAAAAACCCGGATCCCTGATGATAATAAATGATATTTGAAAGTCTTATGGTTGTGTAAAACTGCCTTTCAAGGTTATTTCTATAATAGAACAAGAGCCAATTCTAATTTATCATCATAAAAAAGAACTATTTAAAAGATGACATTTATATAAGAATCAGTTGAGTTTTATATTTTCCTCTCAGTGGGACACTCTCTTGTCTCAGTTCATTTTTCTGTGTGTGATCAGCCCTGGTGCCACTTTCCTGTGTGGTCTATACATAATCATCCTGCCACATTCTAGTCTGGAAAGTATTTATTATCTCCTGTTTGCTGCCTTTTGAATAATGATAATAATGCATCAAAGGAGATTTCAGGAATTCATAGATGATCACAATACACACAACTACCATGCATATAATAAAGTACAAGTACTTTTTTACTTTCCAGTAAAAAAGACTTAAAGAAAAAGAAGCATACCTTTGGCGATTTGTGATACTTACCTTCAGTGTAACCTTAAGGCCTATGCTCACAGCAGGTCCCTACAATTTCATCATGACAGTAGCAAGTTAAAAATAGTCTTTCAGTCTTTCCTTCACTACCTGTTTTAAAAGATGCTCTTTATTTTAGAGTATCAAAAAGCAGTGGGAAAACTGGTAAATAATGATATGATTAGTAGAAACAAATCTATCTTCAGAGAATTTAAGAACTGTCTTGGAGGGAAAGCAGAGAGTATAAATAATTGCATCAGGATTCTAGAGGCTACAAACTAATCAAAGCTATTTTTACTACATGTTATCAACACCCTACAGCCTACAAAGATAACTGACCTCCTCACGCCAGCAAGGTCATGTGCAGCTGCCGGGAATTAGCCAGTATAGAGCACATTTGTAGAGCAGTTGTTCATTTAATTTGTTTCTTTTTTCAGATGAAGTTTCAATATGTTTTTCTTATTTTAGTTTTTTCCCCCTCATTTGAAGTTTAGGAATATAAATGTGAGCTATAACAAAATTATAAAGCACAGGAGTCAGTAAGTAGGAAAAGGGTAGCACTTTTGCTAGGAAGTTCAGCAAAGGAAGAACAACAGGTGTTGTTATCTTAATACATAAACTAAGGACATGGCATGTGTCAGGCAAAAGGAGTGGCAAATAAGGGGTCAAAGAAATAAGCAAAGGGACCTGGTTGCCCAGGATTAATGGAAATTAAAATTCAAGGGCTGTAATTAGAGAGACAATAAAAAAGTGTAATGGCGGAAGCTAAGAAAGTGGGGGAATGAAACCTTCCTCCTCATGAGTAGGGATCTTGGTTTTCTCTGTTAAAAATCCAAAATTATCTGAATAAACACCCCAAAATTTACCCATATTTTTCTGTGATTACAATGAAATGCCACTATATATATATATATATATATATATATATATATATATATATATATATATAAAAAAACCTACCAGTGCCTCAATCATTATAATAAAACTAGCCAACTGCCCATCAGGAATGCTGGGGGGCAAGGTGGGGGGGATTGGTGGGCTGGGACACATCCCAGGAGTGGGTGGGGGGAGAAACTTGCCTTCCTGTTCCCTCCATCCCCCTCGGCCAGCACCCCGTGCCACCATTGCCTCTAGGGGAACAGGGCTGACAGCGAGGGGCAAGGTACTGGCCTCACCCCTCCGTTCCATCCCCTCCATCCCCAGTGTCCTGGTAGTGCTCCGCTGCGCCACCACCACCGCCTCCTGGCCAGAACGCTCTTGGAGCACTCTGTTTGGTTATGGACAGATAGACAAACACACAGACTAAGGCTTTTATTATATTAGAATAAATTCTAAATACCTATATATTTTGGCATTTGATTTTTTTTTTTTTTTTATCATCATAGAAAATCAGAGCTTCCCCTGGCACCTTGACTCACCAAGAGTGAGTCCAGATGTGGCTGTCCCCACCCCCCCACCACCCTACCTGCTGCTTTGTAGTGTTAAGCAGCCCTGATATGCCGGTACTCTGCCCCTGTCTATGCTATTGCCCCTCACTCCCAACCCACAGCCCCCACCTACCCTCCACTTGCTCCCTCCTGGTGGCAGTTTTCCCCCCTGTACCAGGATAGGGGTCCAACTGCAGCTGTCCTCTCAGCTGCTTTGTGGCACTGAGCAGCCCTAACATGTTGGTGCCCTGCCCATGCAGGTGCCTCTCACTCCCAAGCCACAGCCCCCCAGCCCTGCCAGTGCTCTTGTGCGTCTCATGTTGTGCTGTTCCCTGGCCAAGGGAAGCCCGACAGCAGGCAGAGCAGACAGAAGGGAGAAGAAAGAGGGGCAGCAGGATGGGGATTCAGCAGGGGCCACCCATGGAGCCAGGTAGGGTCTGCTTCAGCCACCTTTTAGCTCCCACCAAGCAGGGACTGCTGCTGCCTTCTTGCTACCCTATGAGTGTCCCTGGCTTACCGCAGTCCCCATCCCACTACCCCTGCCCCACTGCTCCCAGGCCCTCACCACCCAAATGGTTCCACGTGGTGGCAGCAGATGTAGCACAGCTCATCCCAGTGAAGTGAGGCTGCCCCTGACAGCAATGGGCTCATTGCAGCTGTGGCCAGCCCTCGCATTCTGCCCAGGGCTGCTACTGCCTGTCCCCGCTGCAGTTCCTGGAGCCACTCTGCTAGGACATGCCTCGCTAGCCCAGCCCACCCTGTGCACTACTGGCCCCAAGCACTTTGATGCACCCACCGCCACTATCTGGAAACATTTGGGCAGTGAGCACCTGGGAGCAGTGGGACTGGGGTAGTCCCACTATGCAGGGCAGGGACTTGCATAGGGCCAGCAGGCAGGCAGCAGTGGTCCTTGCCTTGTTGGGAGCTGAAAGACAGCTGGGACAGACCCCTGGGTGACCCCGGCTGCATCCCCCTCCCACTTTCCATCCTCCTCTCTCTCCCCTCCTCCCTCCCCCTTGCCCTGCCTGCCACCAAGCTTCCCTCCCCCTCCCCCTGCCCCTTCCCTGCAGGGCCAATCAGCAGGCCCTGTAACCTGCAAAATCAGGCCCAGTGGCTACATAGGGACCAGGAAATCATTGACCCCCTCATTCCCAACCCACAGCCTCTTGCTTGCCCCTCCATTCCCCAGGCCTGGTGGAGGGTGCCCCCAGCAGCTGCCTTCCCCCAGCCTCCCAGGCCCTACTTACCCCAAAGACTGCAGGAGGTAATGTAAGTCTGAGCCAGCCCTGGCTGGTCTCAGATCCTCAGGCCCCACCTCTGCCTCTTCTCCCTTCCCCTCTGGACAGGGCTTAGGGTTTTGCACCCTTTTGAAAGCAGCTTGTTACAGGCTGAAACTCTGCCTTCTTAGAAGGTGGAGCTTTGAACCACACACAGCTCTTGGCAAACGTTCAAGCCTCTAGCTGGGTGGAACCAACATGCCTTCTTATTTAACAGGAGCCAGAGTCTACTATATGGCTCACCTTCTCCTGTACAATATTAAACCCCCCCAACTTGCTGTCCTTTGACCCTTGAGCACATGGTTCAATTCTTTCTTATGAACAATAGTTCTCTGTTTTGTACTAGCACCCAGAGGTTCCAGTGCTTTCCTCTAGAAACAAAGAGGAGGATACTGTCAAACATATTCACCTTTTCAACCTGGCCATTGTAGCAGTGTACCTCCTTAGTAGGCTTGAGACAGATATTTGAGCAAGTACAGTAGGAAGAGGGGTGGGTTCTAGAGGAAAAGTAGGGAAGGGAAGAGTCAGCTGAGACAGTAGTAAGAAATGGATGGCAGCTCCCTTATCACAGGGTTGAGCGCGGTATAAATGGAATCGCCATTTGCGCAGCAAGGGAGAGATGGGCATTTTCTCTGTGCATTAATGTTTCTTTACCCTGGAATCCTCACCCATACACAGGCAGAGGAGGAGGGAAAAGTTAAAAAAAAAAAAGTCAAAGAAGACTGAAAAACCACAATTCACTTATTAAAATAGCTCATGTTTAGAGAGATCGGACTCATGATCTTTGATCTCTTGGGATTGGCAATGCTGGAAGTGAGACGCTGAATCTCAGCATGATTGGCCAATTAACATTACCGTCTACCATGGGAGGAGTCCAGAAAATAGAAGAACTTTGCCCTGCAGGGAATATGACATGGTTGGCATTGTCCCTGCCTGGCTGGCCCCACCACAGATAATTCTGTTGTGACTTCTTGAGGTGTGCAAGGTTCTCCATCTCCACTTTGGGAAGAGTTAATGTTTTACAAAAACTGTACCAGGAATACTCTCTTCAGAGCAGGTCTTTGCTGACTGGCTAAGATGTGATCATGCATAAGGAATTAAAGTGCCATAAATGTATAAAGGAAAACCCTTTAGCCAGCATTCAATTGGTCAGTTACCTGCTAAGAGTGAACAGTTGCTTCCCTCCATGCAACCAGCCCTTCTGTCAAATGGAAAGTGTGACATCTACAGGCCAGCAAGAATGCAATACAGACATGTGCGTGAGAAAAGGCAAACATGAGAGGGGCAAGGATTTAAAAGGACTGCAGTTGGCGCAATAAAAGATACCTCATGAAGAAAGTTTTGCATTTGAAAGCTTGTTGAACTCTATTCCAACTAGGTAGTTGGACAAGAAAAGATAGTGCTCTGAGAATCCTTGCCCTTTGCATAATTCCTGGACTGTTATGGCTACAGCATCAGTCTAACTAATCATCTCTCTAACTACCTAAAAGGCAAACAAAAAAATATTTGCTCAACCAGTGCAGGCAATTCTAGATGTGGATGGGCTTTAAAGTCCCATCATTACTTACTTATTTACTAATTAGCAGTACAGAATGCCCTGTTATCCCAAGGAAGTTTGGGGAGGCTGCACTTCTGAAGTCAAATCCAATCTCAGTGGAATATTCTGAAAGTTTAAAACCAAAAGCTGGATTGTTCTGCTTCACTTCAAGCTGGTTGCCTATGGCCTCTTAGGGTCCAAACACTAAGATAACCTGATACATCTTCAGTGCCAGAGACTGAGAGGAGGGAGTTGGAGGATTTGTCTTCCCCAAGTCTGAAAGTTTTATATCTTCCCTGTGCCAGTAGGAGCCACAGCTACTAAAGCTGGCCATAATTTTTCCAGTGAAACATTTTTCTTTCAAATCATCCTGCTTTGCCAAAACAAATGTTCCCATGGAAATGTGTTTTATTGTGACAAAATTTGCTTTTGGCAAAAATACTGAAAGAAAATATTTCAGGAAAATGAAGCTTGCCTCATGCAAATGGAACAACTGCATTAGAATGGATTTTTAAAAGTTTGCTTAGCTTGTCACGCTGGGCTTTATTTTATATTAGTATTTGTGTTATTGTAGCTCCAAAAACTTCAGCCATATAAATAATAAAAACAAAACTTCAGAAGCAGAACGAACCCCTTTGGTGTTACCCCAACAGAATGGGTTATTTAATCTTTCTCCCTTTAAGTTTGTTCCATAGGTCATTCTGAAATTTGTTTTTTAATTCTGATTTGGAGCAAAAAATTATTTCAAAATGTCACAACTGCTCACCAAATAGACATTTTAAGTTTGTCCCTTTTTTATCCTTTGTCAGCAACACACTGAAAAATGTTTGTGCAGTGCAAAGGAAGCAGAGCACCTGTGATTCTGACTTTCATCATTTTAAATACCATTACAAAGCATGATAATGATAACCAGCAGGACTTTGATACCATTAAGTAAACTCCCTACCCATACTTCACCACATGTGTAGTTCCTCTGGCACATTTACCATCATATTATCTTTATCCAACCCTACTTGGTTACAGGTGCCTCAGCTACTAGTGTCTGAGCTACCAATTCCACTGTTGCTAACACTGGGAGAGCTGCACCAATGAAAAATAATTAGTGAGAGGACATTTGCCAGTGCAGGTTCAGGCTAGGAAATCCATCAAAGTTTCAGACTTGTTGAACTGTTGGTTCGATTAAGGAGCCTTACTGAATACTTGTAAGTCTACCTGATTAGTCTCACAGTATCCAGATAGGAATTTTAGTGATCTTTACAGATACTTTAGTGCTTCATTAAGTTATCAAATGAATTTGAACTTTACTTCAACCTCTAGAAAATGACAGCGTGACTCAGTTAAGCCCACAAAATCAAAATGCTGATTTTTCAGCTTGGAATGAAGTTCCTAGAAGGGAAAATATAACAGAAAACCAACAATTTGAACAAAACACACTGTTATAAAAGCAGTTCTCACTTTCAGTGCAGATTGCATGCCATCAGCTACAATCAGAGGACAATAGGTATTTGACTTCTTCAAAAGCTGCTAATCTTGAAATACATTTTAATTTTAAATGTAAACCTCAGGTTTTAATAGGGTCTCGGAGACTTCCAAGAGTTTTGTAAAACTGGAGCTTTGGATAAATTCCTGGTTTTAACTGACTTTTTTAATGGAGTGGGAAAATTAATTTTGAATAATTTTGATATACTCGCATATCAGCTGATTTTTTATATACTGTATTACTTACACATGCATATGCGCACGTGCACACACACACACAAAGAATAACCCTGGCACAAGGACCTTAGAATCTAAATAAACAAGACAGGCCAGAGGTGGTAGAAAGAAAGTATGAATATCCATATTATTTGACTAAAGAAATGAAACACACAGAGAGAATTGATTTACTTACAGGCTAACTTTATTTAAAAAAAAAAAAAAAAGACTGGGACTTACCTGTATTTTTCTGTTAAAGCATCTTATAACTTGGTTGTGCAAAAGCTCTTGCCAAGTGGTTACTGCAATACTGTGCTTCTACAGAAAGTTTTCTTTAATTCATCACAGCATTTAGGACAACTGCACCCCATCTCTCTGCCCTTCCCAGCAATATCACCATGAGGTATGCCCCAACCTACTTGATCTTGCCCTGTAAACAACAACTCGTGAAGACAAGGCAAAGTAGCTGCCCTATAGTAGCCTTAGAATAACCATGTGCCCTGAGGAAGGGTACTGCGATACCTGAAAGCTTGTCTAAATCCTAGACTATGCAGTTGGTCCAATAAAAGATATCACCCACAAGAATTCTTGCCATGTTCCCAGTGCCATTCTCTGGCTTTCTGTCTCAAGCATGCGACTGGCATGCACCCAGAGAGGCTCAAGGAGATATACTGCATTACTGGGCTTTGGCCCCCACAGACCAGGACTGACAAAAACTTTGTTAATGCAGGATAAAGGTCTCCTAGTGGTGTCTTATGTCCTTTCAGAACATTAAGTTCATCTAAACTCTAACCTCTAAAAAACAAGGACATTCTGAGTTAATGTACATGTCAACATCTTTTTAAGTCTGCCCTCCTTGATGGAGACCCCCAAAAGGACCCTTAAACACATGCCCATGCTCCATGCCTGTGCACAATATTCACAGAATAGGGCCTATGCTCACGGTGGCACAGCTTGATGCCTTTGTTTTTCGAGGGCAAACTTGTGCCAGGTGAGTTGCACTGAACAGGATCTATCTACACCAAAACATTTAAGCCTAAACTACAGAAACAACTCCTGCCTTTTGCTTAAGTATTCAACCTCTTTATGCTTGCACACTGAATGTCATGTAATACAGTACTTTTACTTGTCATTAAGCCCACAGACCAATCTCTCCGCACACTTCACTGCTGACAGTCTCTGTAGCACAGGGGTGGGCAATTATTTTGGGTGAAGGGCCGCTTACTGAGTTTTGGCAAGCCATCAAGGGCTGCGTGACAGGCAGCCCAGGGCAGATTAATATTAATTTTCTAAATTTTTTAGGGGCCCCATGGGCCGGAAAGAATGGCCTGGTGGGCTGCATCCGGCCCCCAGGTCGCATTTTGCCCATCCCTGCTGTAGCAGAAGATACTCACTACTGACACAACCTACAGAACAGTGACAAAATGAGAAATTCTGGATCCCTTAAGATACTAGAGCTCCTCTTCCCTTTGTTCATAGAGGCCAATGGAAAAAGGGGCTCAGATTTGCCCAAAAGAAGCAAGGTCCTCAAGTCTCCTCATATTGCAATTGCAGCTATGCGGAACTGTTCCAATTAATTTCTTCACTATTCAGTACAACTATACTTGACATGGTAGACACAGCTGCTTGCACTACTGTGTACTTTAACTGTTCAATAGCAGTTTTTCACAGCTTTGACTTTTAACTGAATCTCTCCATTCATGAGTGAGTAACCCTCCAGACAACCTTAACACAGGCTTAAAGGTTTTGACAGGAATTATCATACCAATCACTATTGCAGGGGAGGAGGGTAGAAACCTGATGACATAGCGTGGTACTAGTATGAAGTCCAACCATCTCAGCTGGTGTGACATTGATGCCTCTTGCCATTATCCATTCACTGGCAACTAATCCTGAGGTGATCTAATTGGAAGGTCATCTTAAATTCACTCCCCCCCCCCCCCCCCCCTTGCTGTGGCAGGGAAAGCAGCAGGAGGGGATGAAGATCAAGACCTCTGCCTTTTGTTCCCCATGCAGCCCCTGCCATGTGCTCCCCATGCCTGTGCCTGATCCCACCCCTACCTGTTCCTACCTGCACACTACCCCCCTGTTTCCCTTCTGCTGCAGCTCTGCTCCTCTGGGGCAGTCAGCAGCTGTAGTGGCCCTGCCAGGCCCTAGCTAGGGAACAACTCCCAGCTGAGCCAAGTCAGGACTGGAAGGACCTGAGCCAAGCAGAGGGCAAGAAGAAGGGGTAGCTTAGGGAAGGGAAGTGGGGGGTGGAGGCAGCACAGGCACAGGGGGTAAGGAGTGGGAAGGAAGGCAGCAGGTTTCCCCCTCCCCTTGTGGTCTCCCCTACAATCCCCTAGGCTGTGTACCCCTCTCCCCTGCCTAATAAGCCATTCTGGCCCAGGGCAGGCAGCATCTCATCTCTGGCTTCAGCCACAAGCCCAAAGCCAACTCCAGCGCTGAGCTGCTACCTGCCCCAAGCAGGTACTCAAATTCAAAATGAGCCTCCCACTACCATGTTGACTGGAGAAAGAAGTCTTATCTTGGGTTTGAGTAAATATGGTAGTTTCATGAAATCCTTGGAGCACTTTGAAATGTTCTTACGCTTGGGTGAAACCCCAAACTTCTTAAGGTCCCCATGGGTTTAGGACAGCTACTAGCATTAGTCTTCATAACTTTTTCTAACTCTCAACATTATCCCATTCATGTTACCATATTTTCTCACATACCACATGCCCCAGCTAAGACAGGTACCTTGTTTTAGAAAGGCAGAAAGAAGAAAAAAAAGATTTTCCCAGCGTTTTTCTAAATGCTGACTGCATAGAACAGGGACAGTCTCATTCATACTCTCCTTGCTGCTGGGTTCATCAGCACCTCACAGGAATGAAATGCATTATGCAGCCTGGAATTGCCAGCTGTTCTACATTACATGATGAAGTACAACATGTCTTTTCATGTCGTCCTGCTATTGCACCCCAGAAGGAAAGTGGAGCTTAATTGTGCATTGGTTCAGTCCATTGTTAACAGTGCATTTGTCCCTTTTTTTCTTCAGGGACTTCACTTTAGCCTGGATCCTAAACTGCAACTTCCATTCCCAGCAAATCACAAACAGACAGGTAACTGTTTAGGGATGGATTCATACAGTAAGAGAACAAAGGCCATCTTGTTCTTTTTAAAGCCACAAAGCTTGCCAAATTTCTTCCCTATGTGATGTACCCACCCCTGTTTGCCTTCTGCAGCCTACTTTGTCTCATCTCTGAAGCAAAATGAAAACTATAGGTACACACACAAGTGTACCTCCCCACTATAACTTACGGTGCTTTGCAAGAAGCATCATGAATTACAGCAATCCCCTGGACCCATCAGACACTCGGAGCAGCTCTGAGTCTGCAGCCGCACTCCCGTAGCACCGTCCCTCCCCCTTCCCATCTCTGTCTTCACAATGGGCAGGGAGAAAGGGAGCGGAGTGGGTTTGATCTGAGGATTGCTCAGCTGGTGTTGGAGGGTGGGGTGGGTGGATTGGAGTCCCCCCACTGCCCCCCAAGGTGGCCTTCTTGTTCTTTTTAAAGCCAAAACTTGCAAATTTATTTCCTGTGTAACATATCCACCCCTATTTCCCTTCTGCAGCCTAGTTTGTGTCAGCCCTCGAGAAAAATGAAAACTATAATATCATCGGAAGCCTGGAAGGGACTTCAAGGGTAATTTCGAGCCTGTCCCCTGCACTGATGCAAGGCTTCCTATCCCTCAACCATTCCAGGCAGGTGTCTATCACTGTAGGTTGTACATCAATTTGATGGGATTGACTTTACATGGATTCATTTCCTTTACTCCTCCCTTGATGCTGTCCTACTGATTACAAGACTTATCTGTACATATCCATTATTTTCACCTTCTTGGCACAAGCAAGCTTCAGTGGTATAAGTAACTAACACAAATAATAAGCAAAAGATCTTTATTAAGGAACATATATGATACTCATGACAGTAGCCAGCTGTGATCTTCAGGTACAAGCATTGTCTATATAAAGATTATTTATTACATATTTTATTCAATGTATATACTGTCATTCCTAACAAAGGCTCAGGTGGCTTACAATAAGGATAGAATAATTTGTAAAACAGGAGAATGTACAAGAGAACATTTAAAATGGAATTGATAGCATCAATATAAAACAGAAACACCCTAATCAATATCCCAGTCTAGCTTTGCTAAACACTTGCCTAAATAGGAAGATCGTACAACACTTTTGAAAGGTGTCCAGGCTTGGGCTCTGCCAGGCCTCAAGGAGGGAATTCCAGAGCTGAGGAGCAACTGCTAAGAATGACTTTCCACATATATTTGCCAAGAGGATACATGTAAATAAATCTTGTCAAAAGCTCTTCTGAGTTCATATATAATTAGAATGGGGCCTGGGCTTTCACTGTTCTGTAGATATGTCTCTCTTCACTAGAGGTAAATCAGAACTGAAATATGTTGGTGAGGCCTTGCTGAAAAGTTTAGATTGCTGCCACCTGCACTGTTCCCATTCCTTAGAAGAATGAAAGATCTCAGTCACTTGGGCTAGCAATCCAGAGCTTTACACGAACACTAAATTCACAAGGTTGATCTTTTCTTCTTTTTTAGTTTTTGGGGGGAGAGGTGGTTTAATAATAAAAGTTTCAAAGGGAATCAAGAATTCAGGTTTGATTAAACATAGTAATCTCTCAGAAATGATGGATGGGTTTTGAAATATCACACAGTCTTATATGTTCTCCACACATCCTAGAATATTTTAAGAAACAGTAGATGGCAGGGGCTTGCCATCCCTTTGAGCTACATCACTGCTATGTAACAAGCCTCCCAAGCTTTCAGCCAGAACCCAGGCAATCCTGTTTGGTGTAGCATTAGACAATCTGACAGGAGGGACTGCAGCTCTTAGTAATTAAAACATTCGGCACTGGCCCCATGCACTAACAGGATGCCAGAATCCGTATTTGTTCCTTTATGGCAATTCTTGTTCTTAGGATTCCTTTGTAGAGCCAGCAACTGTCCTTAATGTTCCCCCATATTTCAGAAATCTTGGCCTAAGTTTTCAAAGGGTTTTTTGTACTTCAACTTTTGAGTGTCCCACATGGGACACCTTAGATGGGCTTAATTCTCAGAAAGTAATTTTCTGAAAATCAAGCCCTTTTAATGTACCTCAGATTTGGCACCCAAAATCACTAGTCACTGCTGAAAATATAAACCCTCATCTCTAAGATGGAGGTTTTAGAAAGTGATCAGTGCAATGCAAAATGTTTACATGCAGGTTTTATTTCAATAGACTTTTCCCCTGGTAGTATTCTGCTACTGAGTTACATATGTATCATATAAGATCTACTATCGCTCTTGTTTGTCAACCAGAATCCCTAACACATTACATATTCTTCCCATGCCCCTACAGTGCAGTAAGATATAAATAAACATAGAAACTGCAAAGATAAACTAAGGAAAAAAGTTTGAGGTGTCTAAAACATCCTCCCAGGTACTTTAGGTTATGAAGTATGAAAATAACAATCAGGTGGTTCTTCTAATTGATATATGCTAGTTCTTTAACATGACAGGAAAGTATGGTTCTGCTATGCTGAAACCTCTCATTAAGGAATGAGAAATGCTTCATTCTCTAAATGTGAATGCTGTCACAAGTGAAACAGAGGAATAGATTTAAGAGGACGCTACGAGTTTGTAGGTAATACACAAAGTGAAATAGTTAAATAAAAAAAGATTCTGTGATTGTAAAAATATGTTTATTTCTAAGGTGTCAGGAATTTACTTTCAGAAGTTCCCATTCTAGCTATAATGTCCCTCCTCATATTATCTATTATGCTTCTCCTTAATCACAGAGACAAATCACTTTCACAGAAACTAATCACAGGATGCATCATCACAGTGCAACCTTTGGGACACCAGAACAAAAGGAAAAATATTACCCTAAAACCTCATAGCTTATTTCCATCAATAGCATTCACTGTAGACTGCCAGACAAACCACAAGGTGGAGCTTTTCCACTACTGGTGGTTGAGAAATCCAACATTTACATCATTAGTAGGCTAGAGAAAAGTGTTGAACTGAGCTAATGGAGTACAGACCTACTAGTATCTGTTGCCTCAAAACGGTTAAGTACAAATGGTTGCAATGGCAAACAGTTACTCTCTTTATTGCTGTCTTCTATTGCCTATTCATGACATACAAAAATATTAAGTGAGGAAAACTGAGGAGATCTTATCAACGTATAGTCTCAGGCTCTCATCCCCATACCATTTACAGGTGGTCTGAAAGACAGTCTGAAGCAATTTCAGAATTCAAGCACAGAAGTGCCTCTCAATTCATTATACTGAAACAGGCTTTATAACAACTTTTTACATTAACTCCCTTTTTTCCCCTTTCTGTTCTTTGAGGACTAAAGAAAATGACTGAAGATTCTTATGATGTTTTTCAGTAGAGTTGGTGTGATATTTTAGCCATGATGGCCTAGAAATTATGTAAGAGACAAGGATTTTTTGGGAGTGATGATATATTTTTCTGAACCAACTGCATAAGGTTAGACAAGTTCTCAAATGCTAGGCATTCTTCATCAGTTCTTGTATTCAAAAACTTATTCCAGCCATGTAGTTGGTCCAATAAAAGATATCACTCCCCAGAAAATCCTTGAGTGGCACTGACTGTACCTGGAAGAACTGGATGCCTTTAAGTCGGCAGGCCCGGATGAGCTCTATCCAAGGGTGCTGAAGGCACTGGCTGACATCACTGCAGAGCCACTGGCGGGAATATTCAAATGCTCGTGGCGCACAGGCCAAGTCCCGGAGGACTGGAAAAGGGCCAATGTGGTCCCCATTTTCAAGAAGGGGAGGAAGGAGGACCCAGGCAACTATAGGCCAGTCAGTCTCACCTCCATCCTTGGCAAAGTCTTCGAAAAAATTATCAAG